GTGGGGGGGTGGGGGGAAGGAGTTAAACCCCTCCCAACCTTTAACCATTTTTTTCACTATGGGTTGGAGCTTTTTTCTGGTCAATACAGTAATGTAACAACAGTAGTGTGATAGATTTTTCACAAAAGAAGGTAGAAGCTTCCGATTAATATATGATATCTTAACGAAGCTATTGTGTCACTCTATGTGATACTGGTAATTCTAGTGAAATTATTGGAAACCTACCTCCAAATGCTCAGGGAAAATCTAATATGGCTTTGAACTCCCTTACCTGATACAGTAATTACTCGGGCAAGCATGACTTTTAAGTTTGATGACAAATTGCTTCCGTTGAACTAAAGTTGTACTTAGTGTGAGGGGGCATAACCCTTGGTAGTTCAACTTAGTAAATTATTTATCGTTGTGAGACATTGAAGAGTTATAAATTTACAACTTAAAACAAAATGGTATTTCATTACCAGTTCTAAATTATTCATTTAGTGACAGACCTATTTTAGTTCACTAATTGATTTGTGTGACTGTTACGTTGGGTACAAGTCATCAACAAAAGTAAACGTTTGCAGTACTGACTCCGATACCATCCCAAAATTGATTTGCAGCTTGTGTGACCGTCTCTGGGTGATAACACCTACAAGGCTATCAAACATGCTAAAATCAAATTTCTGCTGCCTAAAATGGTTGACATTTGTGTACAGACAGGATCAATACAGGGCTACCCAAATCTCTAAACTTCTCTCGGGGACTATATAACACATACAATCAATGTTGTCATACATTGTATATGCAGGATGTCAAAATCGACCCCACTCCTCATTTCCTCCAAGCAAACACACACAGCGACGTTACACATTATATATAGGACTTCATATCATCCAGTTCTATCTGTGTCAGGTCTAACAATATAATAATGTAAAACATGGTTCTCTCTGTGTCAGGTCTTACAATATAATAATGTAAAACATGGCTCTCTCTGTGTCAGGTCTAACAATATAATAATGTAAAACATGGTTCTCTCTGTGTCAGGTCTAACAATATAATAATGTAAAACATGGTTCTCTCTGTGTCAGGTCTAACAATATAATAATGTAAAACATGGTTCTCTCTGTGTCAGGTCTAACAATATAATAATGTAAAACATGGTTCTCTCTGTGTCAGGTCTAACAATATAATAATGTAAAACATGGTTCTCTCTGTGTCAGGTCTAACAATATAATAATGTAAAACATGGTTCTCTCTGTGTCAGGTCTAACAATATAATAATGTAAAACATGGTTCTCTCTGTGTCAGGTCTAACAATATAATAATGTAAAACATGGTTCTCTCTGTGTCAGGTCTAACAATATAATAATGTAAAACATGGTTCTCTCTGTGTCAGGTCTAACAATATAATAATGTAAAACATGGTTCTCTCTGTGTCAGGTCTAACAATATAATAATGTAAAACATGGTTCTCTCTGTGTCAGGTCTAACAATATAATAATGTAAAACATGGTTCTCTCTGTGTCAGGTCTAACAATATAATAATGTAAAACATGGTTCTCTCTGTGTCAGGTCTAACAATATAATAATGTAAAACATGGTTCTCTCTGTGTCAGGTCTAACAATATAATAATGTAAAACATGGTTCTCTCTGTGTCAGGTCTAACAATATAATAATGTAAAACATGGTTCTCTCTGTGTCAGGTCTAACAATATAATAATGTAAAACATGGTTCTCTCTGTGTCAGGTCTAACAATATAATAATGTAAAACATGGTTCTCTCTGTGTCAGGTCTAACAATATAATAATGTAAAACATGGTTCTCTCTGTGTCAGGTCTAACAATATAATAATGTAAAACATGGTTCTCTCTGTGTCAGGTCTAACAATATAATAATGTAAAACATGGTTCTCTCTGTGTCAGGTCTAACAATATAATAATGTAAAACATGGTTCTCTCTGTGTCAGGTCTAACAATATAATAATGTAAAACATGGTTCTCTCTGTGTCAGGTCTAACAATATAATAATGTAAAACATGGTTCTCTCTGTGTCAGGTCTAACAATATAATAATGTAAAACATGGTTCTCTCTGTGTCAGGTCTAACAATATAATAATGTAAAACATGGTTCTCTCTGTGTCAGGTCTAACAATATAATAATGTAAAACATGGTTCTCTCTGTGTCAGGTCTAACAATATAATAATGTAAAACATGGTTCTCTCTGTGTCAGGTCTAACAATATAATAATGTAAAACATGGTTCTCTCTG